TGACGCTTTTTCCATGTTAGCCCCTCTTATCTACATTACTGACCAGGGAATCGGGTTGAAAAAGGTTTTATCTCTTTTTATCTATGCCGGGATTGAACCCTGGACCTTCAGGTTAGCGAGGAAGCATCTAACTCACTGAGGTTTAAAAATCCGAAGATCTTTTGAAACCATAAGAAGACAGTGTAATATTTGTTGGTTGTTTACCAGTCATGTCTGAATAGAACTAAACAATGTCTGAAGTGATAAGAAAACATCGTTATATTTTGTAATATTTGTTGGTTTTTTTAACAGTCATGTCTGAATAGAACTAAACAATGTCTGAAATAATAATAAAACATTGTTATATTTTGTAATATTTGTTGGTTGTTTACCAGTCATGTCTGAAAAGAACTAAACAATGTCTGAAATAATAATAAAACATTATGATATTTTGTTGTTTATAGGATGGGGAATAACTGATGAAGATATAATTGCCATGTCTCGTCTCCGAGGTGAAAGTCTCCACAAGTTTGTTATTCCCATGTCCTGTATATTTTCGGCCATGAATCTAGAAGATGAACACGGCAATGATGATGATGATGAGAATTCTGATGATTTGTCCGTTCATTCCATCAGTCAGGAGTTTTTTGACAAGGTCAGTTATAAATATTTTTCGTTTAAATTTGATATTCCTGTAAATAGACATTAAGTTAAGATATGTTCATTTTGTGTGTTTTATTCAGCAAGTGTTTATATTTTATACTTGTCATTTTACCCATACCCAACATGAATGAAGCTTTCCCATTGGCTACTGATAAAGCTTTGAGAAAAGATGGTGAATGACAATGTGTACCGTGGTGAATGACAATGTGTACCGTGGTGAATGACAATGTGTACCGTGGTGAATGACAATGTGTACCGTGGTGAATGACAATGTGTATGACAATGTGTACCGTGGTGAATGACAATGTGTACCGTGGTGAATGACAATGTGTACCGTGGTGAATGACAATGTGTACCGTGGTGAATGACAATGTGTACCAGTTTGTTCTTTAAAATGAGGATTTAGAACTTTTTATCATTTTTGAGAAGTGTTTGTTTTTTTTATAGTCTGTATAAATATATTGATACATTTTCATTTTCCAAGTATTTAAAATAAAATGAATGGAGTTTTACATCCTACTTTTCTGTACCTTGTAGTCCCAAATATTTTCTTTTTTTAGAACTTTATTTATATTTTTCTACCCTAAGTATCTAAATCATTAAAAAGATATTTGATTCTTGTTTTTTATATTTTTCTACCCTAGGTATCTAAATCGTTAAAAAGAACATGGTGGCCTGTAGAAGACACAGATCTTCCGTTAGGTCTGTTTGACGCCAACGCAGATTCTGAAGAAATTTACATGGATACTTTATTAGACGACCAATTATCATCGTAAAAACACCCTAACTTTATTTCATTATTTATTAATTTATTATATATCTGAAATGTTTATTGAAATTTATTGTTAATCATGAAACGGTAATTTGTTGGGTTTTTTTTTGCAGAACATCAAATTTTGCCATAAAAAAATTATTACAGGTTTCATTATTTATTACTTGAAATGTCAGGTCTTGAAATCCAGTTAAAAATCTTTCATTAATTTCTTTATTTTACTTGAAATGAACAAAAATCAGGAAACCTGTATTCAGCAATTTGGTTTATTTTCGTTACCAAGACACTAAAATCTACTATGAAAAGTTTTTATATATGTTATTATTTATTAATTAAAAGTTTTGAAAATGACGGAACTCTGCTATGATAACAGGTCTATTTATTAGGGCTATCTTCCAAGATCAACCAAACACAATATAAAGTTATTTTGGATTTTATTCTTGATTTGTTAGCAACATTTGAAAATAATTGTTAAAAATAATGACAAGCTGTTTATTGAGGTTTTTTATGAGTAATATGATTGTTGTCAATATTGTATTAAGTATTAATATTTATTATCTGTCAGCTATCAATTATTACTTACCTTTAAATAATATATTATTACAGTCATTGTTAGATGTTGAGAATTTAAAAGGGTAATGAAGATATATACAAAAATTTGATATTTGAAAATTGTGATATTATTATTATTATTATTAAATATCAGGGTTAAGATTTGAATAGAGATGAATAATGAAGATGATATAGAAATATTTGTAATGTTATTATTATTATTGTTAAAAAGAGAATTATAAGATCTGAGGTATATTGTGATACTATGTTAACACTATGTTGAAATAATAAGATTTATCTCCCTTAGTTTAATAACTCTACTGTTGGCATACATTGTGATTAAGAAGATATATCAGGAATTGGTTTGAAGAACAATGTATGATGTTGTTTTTCTGAAAATACTTAAATGATTCCTGTTGAAAAATGAAATCTAAAAACCTTAAATTGTTAAATTTTGACAGACAGTAGGATATAGGATCCAGTCAGGATATTTCTAGTACAACTAACTTGGCTGTGATAATGAAAATGGATCCAGGACCTCAAATTTTGAAAGAACTATCATCAAATGAATTTTACCAACCATCAGAGATTCATTTTATTTGTGTATTCAGTGATATCACCTTATTAAGTGTACAATATCAGGATTCCAGTATACATACGATTTACTATGATAGAGTTATTTTACCAACCATCAGAGATTTATAATCTATATAATTTCAGTGATATCACCTTATTAAGTTTATAAGTGACCCATTATGATTTACTCAGAGATTAGCTATAATATACTTCCATCTATTTTAAGTGGTGCCTAAAGATTTGAAAGTTTTTCATATCGGAGAGAAAACAATCCATCAATGCAAATTGCTAGTCTGCCATCTTTGTGATAAAAATGTGATTTAATTAGAATAGTGCAATTAAAATGGAGAACAGGCCAGTGTTTTTGTTAATTAAAGACTTGCTTTTCACAGTGATATTTTCCACTTTTTACTGTTGTGAGCTTAGAGTAGAGTATTTTTTACTGGGCACATCAAAAATATTTCGGTTACATAAACATGTTTCTGTTTAATTGTAGATAAACCAGATGCCTTAATTTAGTTTTAAAAAATGATACAGATATCTGAAAGTATTTTCCAATAGTTGGTAAAGCTCGTAGCTTAAATTTGAGTGTATAATATAGGGCCTTATACACAGTGCATTATATTTTATACTGCAAGTCGTTTTGTTTGTATAACAATATAACAATATTAACATGACTTTATCACATGATGTCATATTTTCTATAGGGCGTTAACTTTATTAAAGAAAATTGGCTGTTAAATTTCAAATTAAAAGACAATCCAGAAAAAATTATGTGCCCAGTAAATCTAACTATAGTGTGAATATTCAAATATTATAATTAGGGAATATTAATGAGGACATGAATATTCATGAAGGAGATGTAATGAGCAGATTTACAACATTTTAACTATTATTCTGCTCAATGAACTATATGTATATACCATTCCAAACATCTACGCCAAATTTACCAACTCAGGAAAAATAACTCGTTATAATTGTGATACGACTCTCGATTTGATGGCCTTGTTCTTTGTTGAATTTTTGTTATCAGCCTTTCGTGAAAGATATCGTGACCTAAATATGTAAATGTGATAAAAACGGGTGAAGAAAGGCGACCATGTTATATTTTTTACACGGGGACGAACGTTAAAAACTCCTCTATAATGATACAATGTGATACAAGATCTACCATTATTATTATTATTATTTTTCAAGTTTTTCTATGTATGTACCATCTTGAGTGTTCAAATTAGAAAATGCCTTGAAATTCTACATTTGTTCTTGTTGGTATAACTTGTTGATCAGGGGCGTTATTCTCCAAAACTTAACTACGATAAAATCTAGATTTTAGGAAATACAGTAATCTGATTGGATAAAAAGAACTGAATTTAAAATCAATTTTAGTAATTGACCAATCAGATGACAGGAGCACTAAAATTATCTGAAGTTTTTTTGAGAATAAGCCCCAGAGGATTGAGAAAATTCTGCAATGCAAAGACTCATAATGAATCTTTTTGGCTAGAGCTCATTGTATGATGGAGACACATGTTTCAGATACACAATCCTCATCAGGACAGCTAGTTTTAGAAATGAAAGTTAACTTTACAATATAGGACTCAAGAATAAATGAATTATATTTCAATGTTAGAGTAAAAAGGCTGCTATGTGACATCCCTACCTCAAGTTATAGTGTGAGTTGAAGAGACAGAAAAAATGTAGAATTTCTAGGCTAGGATCAAGTTTCTCACATATTGATTATCCATTTTCATAGCAAGGATGATTATCTCTGGTAAATAGAGAATAAAAATATCTCAGTCAGTAGGAGTTTCATCTGCCAGACAGTTAGTTACTGTCAGTTCAAATACAACTCGAAGCAACACAAATTCTGATGTCATAACCATTGCTTTCGAGAGCAGGCCTGGTGTCAGCCATCAACCACTACGACCTGAGACAAAAATATTATCATAAATTGGGATAGAGGTTGAAATATGACACCAGTCTGACTTTTGAAGGTACTGGCCATGGATTGAATTTTTATCTTGCTTTGAGGAGGATTTGAACTCTTGGCACCTAGTCACCTAGAAGACAACAATCCAACTTTGATACCAACTGATTTATTCCTCTGCCATTGTAAGATTTCTAACTTTCAGTAAATTTGGATATTAATATTTTTGAGAACTATGATCCTGAAGAAATTGTAATATTTTGTATAAAATGATGCCATTTTTATTGCCAGTTTAAACTGAACAATCACCATCTTAGAATCTCAATGATTGAAGGTTTTTTTCAATTGATAATTTACAGCTGGTCAGAAATTGACTTCACCAAATCTTAGAATGAAAGTTTTGAGTAGTTATTAAAGTTAATAAAAGTAAGTTATAGTTTCAGACACAGAAGATCATTTAAAATTGAGATAAAAAAATTCTTAAGAATTAAAGTCACCAGGATTAAAATAATTCTTAAGAATTAAAGTCACCAGGATTAAAAAAATTCTTAAGAATTAAAGTCACCAGGATTAGAAAAATTCTTAAGAATTAAAGTCACCAGGATTAGAAAAATTCTTAAGAATTAAAGTCACCAGGATTAAAATAATTCTTAAGAATTAAAGTCACCAGGATTAGAAAAATTCTTAAGAATTAAAGTCACCAGGATTAAAATAATTCTTAAGAATTAAAGTCACCAGGATTAGAAAAATTCTTAAGAATTAAAGTCACCAGGATTAGAAAAATTCTTAAGAATTAAAGTCACCAGGATTAGAAAAATTCTTAAGAATTAAAGTCACCAGGATTAGAAAAATTCTTAAGAATTAAAGTCACCAGGATTAAAATAATTCTTAAGAATTAAAGTCACCAGGATTAAAATAATTCTTAAGAATTAAAGTCACCAGGATTGAAATAATTGTTAAGAATTAAAGTCACCAGGATTAAATAATTGTTAAATAGAAAGTTATCAGGGAATAAGATTGAAGTAATATTTCCCCAGTTATTGATGAAAATAAAAATTAGAAACATCATTTGAATATAAAAACAAGATCTTATTATTTATAAAACAACTTTCTGATATTTAACAGAATAATATTGTATTTATATTATTTAATATGTATTTCAATCTAATTAAAATACAGCTCCTAGATATATTATAAACATTCACTCTATTATAAGAGAATCAGCCCATTAGACCACATGGTGCAGAAAAATAGGATGTTAAACTCCATTTAATTTATCAGGTATTAGGTGTCTAGAAGAGTTAGTATACCCTGTCTGGCACTACACACCATTACTGTTAAAATATGAAAAAGGAAAAGGTATTATCTAAAGCTGTATTTGAATAGGATTATAATGTATGTTAATATTATAGTAATGTATTATATATTATATATTCATATATTTATTGTAGAGTCTATAGACAGACTGAGATATTCTGTACATCTGAAAACTATTTCAAACATAAACCCAGCCCTATTTGTCAAAAGATCTTGGGATCAAAATTTACAAAGTGAAAGTGTAATACTGAGATATAAAACTAAAAACACAAAAAAAGAATTTTGGAAGAAAGGAACTAATAATTGTATAAATTTCTCACTCAGCTGGAGACTAGAACCCTGGTAATTGGCTTTAAATAGAATTCTGTAAACTGAAAGTTTGAATTTGAAAACGAACTGGTTAAACTAGTCTAGAGTCTTCTTTAAATAAACCATTTCTAAAAACTTCACTGCACTTATTCCAGATTTAAGATTTAAGGAAATGTAATAATCTTATTGGTTGAATAAAGAATCTTAATTTAATTGATTTTAGTGATCGACCTATCAGATGATTTGAAATTTAGTCCCTAACATCTAGTATAGAAAATAAAATTAACTGTCTAGATGTTGAGAACTATGTCTGTCTGTCTGTC